ACCACCGCATACATTTATAGTTTAGTAGAAGGAATATGGATACCAGAAAAGATGCAGAAAGGACTACCTTAATAGAGTTTACATTTATTTTCTACGGTTCTAACTTTGAAAAGAATTAGGAGTTATTATTTTTGTTGACTTTTGAATTTGGATTGAGCCTTGACCTCTGAGAGAGGTTGGTATGCAAACACATTGGTATGCAAATGGGGTTCGTGCACCTCTGTGGAACTTTTTAAGAAGATGGGATTTGAAATCCATTTTCAAGTGCTCTGACCTTGGGAAGTCCTAGAAACGGATCTGATTGGTTGACCTTGCATTGATTATGAAGGTCGGACTGTTGACTAAGCATGCATGGGACAGACAGACAGTCAGTAGGACAGACAGACAATCATTTGGACAGACAGGCAGACAATCAGTAGGACAGACAGACAATCAGTAGGACAGACAGGCAGACAATCAGTAGGACAGAAAGACAATCATTTGGACAGACAGACAACTGATTTGGACAGACAGGCAGACAATCAGTAGGACAGACAGACAGAGTGATAGATGATAAAAACATGAGCTAAGCCGGAAAAAAGAAAGAAAATGTATGAAACGGGAAGAAAAAATAAAAGAAAAAAGAAGAAAAAAACAATGAAAGAAAGCAAAGACAGAAGGAAAGAAAAAATAAAACCAGTTGTTCGACACTATCATGTCTTTAATTCCATGCGAATTTTCTCTCACATACGAAGACACTAGCCAGCCAATCAGGATGCGCGCTCTTCTGATTTCGACTATTTTGCAACAAAAGTCAAATGCAAAATGTTAAAAAAAGATTTTCACATGACTACCAATACATAAGCCCCCTTAATTTGAAACGTAAAGACTCTTGCAGTAATGAGCCCTTCCGGCCCAATTATGGGCTAAAATCGGCGAATAAAAGAATTAGTCCCCAATATAGAAATATTCGTAAGACTTTGCTCTAAAATTTATGACCAGAAACTATAAACTCCCCTCCTTGTTATCATTCGTGTTGTTTCGGCTAACGATTGGTAGCACATGAGCATTCGTCCATTCAACATTACTAGAGGGAAGGGGATTGATTGGTCGAGAATATCTTCTTCCTATCGAAATTGGGCTTCCTGGGTTGTCCAGGTGTCAAAGTATTTTTTCGCCGGTCGAATTTTTAAAGAATAGACATGTAAACTATATACCACACCAAAGATATCTATGATATTTGCAAGTTTGAACTTTTCGTCAGTGATTTTATATAATTTTTGTTATCGACAATATTACTAAATAACGTTTGTTGCTGTTGGTTACAGAGGTTCAAAGACAGCTGTCTCTGATACGGTATTTTGAGTTGCATAATGCTATCCAAAAAATATTCCAGCGTATCGTAACGCAAATTTCCTTCGAATAATAATTACCTCTAAAATAAGCCTTTTCCGGGATTAGCCCGTCCCGCAAATGGCAGAGGGAGAGAATACTTACTGTCTCCCCTTGGGCCTGAAACTCAAGTTACGTTAATTCATAACACGGACACACGGCATGGCTTCGTGTGGGTTTTACTCGTGATTCTATGGGTTTTACAAAGGCGTTTCAAGAGAATAATTTGACAGAGCAAACTGAACAGTTGAGAAAGATCCACGGCTACGCTTTCTTGTTAACTTTTGACCTTCATCACTCATCGTAGAGATAACACTGTCTGTCACACTTGGCTTTCTTTCGTTTGTAAGTTCGAACACATCGTCGTCATCGTCTGTAATCTGAGAGCAGTTTGATACGTCTAATGTCTCTATGGGATACGCTTTCTGGAACGATTCTACGCCTTCATCGGTGATGTTATTAGAAAGACTTAAGTTCAAAGATTTCAACGCTGGGCATGTCCCAATCTGCAACTGCTTAGCAAAGCTTTGTAGGTTATCATCAGTTAAAGCTCTCCCCTCCCCAACTCGACACAGACCAAAGTACTCCAAATATGGCATCTGGGCAACAATAGGCAATAAACTATCCAATCCCTTGGAAGATATTAAAGGACAGCAACCAATGTCTAGATATTTGATCTTTGAGTTAACCCAGTCGACTTCGTTCAAGGGTTCATCTTCAATGCTTGTACTGTTCAAAATCAAAGTTTCCAAACATGGAAGTTGGGGAATAATTTTAGGAAGGAATTCCCCTTCAATATGTGTGCATTTTCTCAAAGACAGTACCTTAAGTCGACAGCAAACACCAAAAGCTTCCACGAATTCATCTTTCGCTAGATTACAATGAGTCAAATCGAGTTTTTCCAGTTTTTCCAAGCTGGAAACTGTCTGTTGCAAAGTTTGTTGAGCTGTTACAGCGAGAACAAAAGCGTCGCAAAGACCCAGCCATTTTACCTTGGTAAGGCTGCGTGCCATTGCCTGATAAACCGCCGCATCACCGTGGGAATATCGAATATCCAAGTGCTCTAAATCAGCCGGGAATAAAACCTCTTTTTCTGCATCTTCTTCATGGATACTAAATGTCACAGACTTGAGGACCAGTTTCCTAAGGTCCGGACAGTTACTTGCCAAGGAATTCAACGTCATGTGCGAAACGTTAAAACCACTCAAATCCAACGTTTCCACTTTCTGTACCAGGTACGCGTTGGTGACAAAGCGTAGGGCTTGCTCATCATGTAGTGTTTGCGCAAAATGCCTTAGATCCACATTTCTCCAGAGAGAACCATCGAAAGATAAGTGTTGCCATCTCTTGCAGACCAAGGAGGTATTTATCAGCTCTGATATCGATAAATACTGAAAGATCTTTAGGATAGTCGATTCGTTCAATGCAGAGATTTGTACCGAACCAGGTCTAGAGCTTTCCTCTCCTTCGTCCTGTCTATCTTCTTCATTGACTGATAAAGCTCTAGTTATATTGTATATAACAGCGTTCGAAAGCTTTCTAACCAATTCCTTGACCATTTTAGTACCACAACACTAGGACCATTAAGTTAGTGTCGTCTGTACCTAAAGAAAAGTAGTCTAGTTGTGCTTACATAGAGGGTTGGTCAATCCTTTTATCATAGTACCTGTGGAGTCACATGAAGTGAACACGTGAACCAATTGACCTTTGCATCTAGATAAGCGTTGCACTCTTCCGCACACTAAAGATGTTATCTTATAACGGCACCAATTACACAGTTACATGGTTTCTTAGATGTAACTAACTAGTGTTCTAGAGTCGTATTTCCTAAAAATACCTTATATTAAGTGTGTTTTGGAAATAATATATTGTTTATACAGAAACCTTGGTCGAGGCAAATGAGTGTCATCTTGCACAGATCACGCAGAAGTCTCATATTTCTTGAGTGCACGCTACATGGTTGACTTAGAGGGGAGGATACGGGCTACTTTGTCATCACTCACTTTCCATACATCTTTCTTTCTCAGATAGGCCCTAAAGGACAACTGATGAGTCAGCAGTTTCTTATTCGAAGAGAGAGAAATTTGCTAAATTTAAATCCAGATTAGAATGCCTGTGAACTATATGTAAGAATTAAGGCTTTTTTCCCCTCAGGGCTGCTCTACTTGCAATAGAAGCTGTGCAATAGATAGCCCGGCCGCGGGCACTCTTAAATTAAGGCCAAGGTTTTGCAGGGTCTTTGATGACAGCCACACGAAACCAATAATCCGGCCATCTGTCAGTCTTGCCATGTCAGCTCGGGTCAAACGGATTTCCGACGTCACGTGCCAGCGACATGCTGAAGCAAATCGTTCTCTTTAGGGAAGTGATACTTTGGAGGGTGGGCTTGGGGAATTAGTCGAATTTCCCATAATCATTGCTCAGTAAATGGGAACGAGAAAGAAAACACAGAAAGCCCGATTCAAACTCCGTTTCGTTGCTTGTAACACCACTCTCTGCAACTTGCAATGCAATGTTACAAGTTGCAGGATATGTTGGACGAGCCTCAGTTCTACTTTCTGCAAATTTGCGAAGCAAGTGCATTGTAGCAACGTGCAATGCAATCACTCTCGCAAGTGACCAATCAGAGTTTAGCTCTTCCATATCCCCGCTTACATATCGATGCGGTTTTATCGCTGACCAGGAAAGCGTTGCGGTGCAAGCTGCAAAGAGATTTACTCTCGTCTGAAATTTCACCAGCAGCTTACAAGCTTGCAAGCTCTGCTTTCGTCAGCAGTTGTTTCGTAGCACGCCTTTATGGCATTCTGGGTGCCTAGGAAAAGGGCAAGTACCTGCTACGTACGTAGGCTAGATTAAGTGTAAAATATCTCACTTTCTAAGCCGGGCATTTTGAATATCAGATTAAAGTTAAATAACGCACTCCTTGATATGAAGTCAGGTCAAAAAGATAAATTAAACATGAGTATACCCTCCTTATCCGGATTAGATTTCTGTTATCACCAATTAATATCAATGACGCCATCAGAGTTGTTAAAAGGCTTCAAAGCAAATCGGAAAGCACGAAGTAGCTTATATTTGGAAGTCACAGGATCGACCAATCAAAAACTAGGAAAATACACATAGAAAGCAACCAATCAGAAAGCACGAAATCACGCTGGAATTTTCTATCAAATCGAAAGTAACGATACACTGGGTCCCAGAGGATCTTTTTTGCTTCGGCTAGGTTTAGACGAGCGTCGAGCTCCCATCAAAACACCCGTGAAACTTGGGAAGATAGTAGATGACCTCTGAACAAGTTTGTACACGTTTTGATTACCGGAAATGGCTAAATTATGTCTTCACTCGCGTGGTAGAACAAACAGGGTTTCTTGAATTAAAATAGGATAAATATTTTTTTTAAAGCGGCTCTCCGATCTACAGGAAGTCGTGTGATTTCGTTCGGAATCTTTGAACAAAATATAAAGAAGGAAAGAAAATTAAAGAAGGAATAAGGAAAAAGAAAACTAAGGCACGAAAAGAAACGAAAAAGAAAAGAATAAAAGAAGAGAAAAAGAAAAAGATAAAACGAATAGAATAACAAAAAAATTCTAAAAAAATTAAAAAACATAAAATGAGAAAAGAAAAAAAGATTGTCGAACAGACAAAACTCACTTTCCAAGACGTGGAAAGTTGTCAAAAAATATTCAAACATTATAAAGCTTTATTATTCTGGCATGTGCAGCTTGCTGTTAAAAAAAAAAAAAAAAAAAAAAAAACTCATAAGAAATCAGACTTCATTACTCACTGACCCATTGGACTAACCGGCTTAGTTACAAAGTAGTACCTTGTAATTTCTTAGAAAACACTGATTAAAAAGGGCAAAGAAAATTAATATCTGAAATCAAACTCATGAATCTGTATACTCAGGGATTAGGTGGATGAAGATAGAACAATAGTCACCTTCTATTTTTAACTTTAGCTAGCGTTTTTTGTACTCAACAGGATTACTTCTAGGATTGTTACGGCAAACTATGTCAATGGATCAGTTGTCATGAATTGGGATGCAAAGCTCAAGGCGGGCGAAAGAGAGAGAGAGAGAGAAAGGTAGTAGACTGATGGACTGGATTAGAGTGCCAATGCGGGTGTACCCAAATTCGCCCCATGTAAGGGAATCCGGACTTATGGTGGATTCCGGATTCCAAGCGCTGGATTCCGGATTCCGAGACTCTGGATTACGGATTCCAAGAGTCTGGATTCCCGATTCCAAAACGTTTGTATTGCGGATTCCGGATTCCATATCGTTAGTTTTCAGATACTTTCTCTGAAAATTATATTTGATATACTTGCCAGTATAAGTGGAATGGTCTATCAATTGAATCAGCATCTGATGACAGGTATTCTTGGTGGAGATATTACACAGTGGGGGAGGGGCTACATCGGTTCAGTCTAGGTCGAGACGATAGCATTTGAGTGTATACTTTGAATTTCAAAGTAG